ATACCCAATCCGGTCAACACTTCGGCGATGAAATTCCCAATACGGACAACACTTGGAATAATAAATACTCAATCCGTCTAACACTTGGGTGATGAAATACCTAATCCGGATGATGCTTTGAACGATAAAAGTCTTTATCGGACAACATCATGGTCGATAAGGATCCTCGTCGGATAGTACTCTGTACGATAAGGGTCCTTCATCGGACAACACTTCATGCGATAAGGGTCCTCAAAAGACCCTACTTTATGCGATGAAAATTTAACCAAAAAGGGTGTAACTTTAAAAACTACTCACATATAACACATTTTCTACCAAGAGTGTCATAGCAAAATTCATCAAAACAGTGAGAAAAAGAACTCATCTTATCATGCACATATGAAGATGATTTTATACAGATTTAGCTTCCAATTTTGATCACAAAATTCAGCTTCTTTTCTTTAGCAAAATCCCACAGTTTACACAGTTATTTCATCACTTCCTTTCCCAAAATGGCTAGAATGAGGATGTTTCATTTTATTTTATTTTGTCTCTATTGATATTATAATACGAGTTTATGTGATTTTGAGCAAACAATAATGTTTTTTGTTAATAAAATATAAATTTAAAGATATCATAAAAATTAAATATAAATATATATATATATATATATATAGAGAGAGAGAGAGAGAGGAGCGTTCAAATGAAAACCGTCTCCATTTCTATCTATATATATATATATATATATATATTTATATATATATATATAGAGAGAGAGAGAGAAGCGTTCAAATGAAAATCACATCCATTTGTGTAAACCGTATAAACTAATCTCATCCATCCATTTTCTTGATCAATGGTCAAGATTAGTTTACTTTATTTTAAGAAATTAAAAATATATATATATATATATATTAAAATTTTATTTTTTATCAGCAATAAGGGCAAAATGGTAAACAAAAATACATATTCTAGAACATCCTATTGAAGGACATTATTCTTTATTTTAGAAAATTAAAATTTTCTATTTGTTAGGAAATAATTTCGCTAATGCAGCAGCCTTTTTATTCTTTATTCTAAAATTGTTTCAATGTCCTTCACACACCCATGTAAATATGCATCATATTCATTATGAAATTATTTCAAGCCGCACCGGTTTCATCATGGATCCATTTCAGCATGTAATTATTTCATGACAAACCGCATACATTATGCACCCGTTTCATTTTGCATTTCACCTACTAAATGGATTAACTACACCATCACTGAAACGGGGTTCACCATCAAACCAGTTCACTGTTCATTGTTCAATTACGCCATGAACTAGTTTCACTTTCATGAAACTTGTTTCATAAACATAGATTAGTTTATTTCGCTCCTGATTTGATGAATTCATTCCTTTAATCCTTACAATCTTAAAGCTTCTGTAGCAGATTACAATCTTCAAGATTATGAAGCAGATTCATCATGTACCCGTTTTATCATGCAATTATTTCATGACGAACCAAATGAAACGGATTTACCATGAAAATGTTTCACTACTCATTGTTCAATTATGACATGAACCAGTTTCACTTTCATGAAACATGTTTCATTTGTATTAATTTCTTTTTTCAATCATGATCTGATGAATTCATTACATTATGTCTTACAATCTTCAAGATTCACCAGCAGATTCAATCGCATCACAATATATTTAGTTCAAAATTTTAAAATTATAATATAATTAAATATTTAAATGTTATCATTTATAAAATTTCATTTATTATGTTTCCTTAATTAAGATTTATTAATAATTTTCATATTTAATTGAAAATATTATAAATGACCGAAATACCCTTATTGATTAAATTTAATTAGAAAAAATAGAATTTTCCTATTGGTCGAAATTAGTTTACACGGTTTCTTAGAAATGTACGGTTTTCATTTGAACGTGCCCATATATATATATATATATATATATATTCTATTTTTTTGTACAATTTCTTTAATTAATTTTTATTATTATAATTTAATTGAGATTTAATGATCAAGTAATTTATTTATGGTTTAATAATATAACTTTTTTGAAGATACTAACTAAGTATTCTGCTAGATTTCAATAATTATTCTAATTATATTTTAGATTTTATATTTAAAATAAGAATTTTAACATATATTTGATTATATTTATCTATAGTTAGTTACACGAATTCAAACATAGAGCTTAATAAGTTGTACTTACGCACAATTTACTTATAATCTTGAATTGTAAGTAATATGCATTAATAAGCAGTATTTATTGGTTTTTAAGAGTTTATATCAAATGCTTTATAATATGGTATAGATAGTTATATTTAATTCTATTAGGTTAGAGTTTAGAGCCTTTAAAAAGCTTAAACCGTGTAGAACAATCAAACAAATACTTACGATTTAGTTTGTTAAGAAAAGGTTAGAGTGTCCAAACTAGAACACAAACACTCCTAACTTTGTTCTTCCATGGAAAACCAAATCTTTTGAGACAAAAATAGTATGCACAGAGATTGAAGTGTAGCTAAATTAAAGAAGCTGCAATAATGTATGTGATGAAAAGTATGTAGGCTCGGTTGCAGTTTCAACATCGTATATAACAAGTGATTTACGGTACCAAACAGATATCAATAAACCTTAATATGGATAAAGGAGATCTAAATATTTTATATCGTTGTTATATCAGTTATATCGATCTACAAGCGTAAATATAGCAATTATAAATAGATATATAATCAAATAACAATGTAAATCATGACAGGGAGATTTAACATGGTTACTATCAGGGTGATAGTGTACTTCGACAAGGAGGGAGAGAGATCGATATATTATTATCCGGGATAAATTACAACGCATTTACAATGATCCTTGAATCAACAAATCAACCACCCAATGCTTCCCAAAACAAATGTTACTAAACCTAGAAAGTAACCTTAAACAAAAGAAAACCAAATCTGGATAGCAATAGTGTGAATGTTACTTGCCAAGTATAACCGAGGTTGAAGCCCATTTATGTGGGTCTCTCCCGGGGCATGTCGCCTCTGTCTAGGCTATGAGAGGCACGACAAGGAACGGTGCGACATGGAGTGGTGCGACCTATGTGGCTTGAGAAGGCGCCCTAGGCGCTAAAGCGTCTTCACTCAAATTGGCTACGAAGCGGCTTGTCCCCTTTGCGACTTAGGGTGCACCAAAGGTGGACTGATCGAATTTAATCCCAATGCTTATTATAACAATAGGTTTTTATATGGATTCTTATTATTATAACAATAGTTTTTTATTAAATATTTAAAATAGAACTTAGAAAGATTATTTTATAACTTCATGTTAAATGTTTATGAATTCGTGAAACTATGAACATGTGACTAGATAAATCTATAAAAGTGTAATTTTTTTTTGAAAAAAGTCAAGTTCTATAAAAGAAAATATGCATCATGGCGTGAGTCTCACCTTACAAAAACGCTATGGATCATTTCGTAATGGCAGAGACGTGAAAATGACGTTCCTTTTTAAACACTGCTTAAGTTATGACAAGCATCTAGCATGACACCCCGAACCCCTTACGACAACACTTCACTCACTTGGCAACTTTAGTTTCCTTTACTTTTTACATACCTCACAAGTGGTCATAAAATAATTTGATTATTATTCGGATCTTCATTAAGAAAGCGTTAACCAAATGTTTATCCGGGTGAGTACTTACCAGCAAAATGAAACATTCTCTTACTTACCGGATAAGATTTTAGTCTACCAAAATGGTATAGTATGCAACAATTTATTCAGTAAGCGCTAATTGTGATAAGAGTCGTCACTTTCACTTGTCGAGTAAGACTTTCGGTCAGTGGCGGATCCAGAAACTTTTATAGTTGGGGGCACACTTAGGGGTGTAGTCGTGTAGGAAAAAAATCCAAAACCAAATAATTCATTAGGATGAAAACGATTTTGGGTTTTCCTTTTCGTCTTAACGGTTCAGTTAACCAAATTAAGATAACTTATTCAAGTCGATTTTTTTATATTTCGAACGAAAATATCAAAATGTGCTGCAAATGGACCAATTAACAATCAGGATATCAAGTTGGGGGCTCTTGTCTTGTTCTTGTTGGGGGTCTTGCCTTGTTCTTGTTGGACACACAATAGGAAAATTTACTCAATATTTTTTTTATAGCCTTTTTAAAAGAAAATTGGTGGGTTTGTTAGGGGCCTTGTCTTGTTCTTGTGGAAGCACAATAGAAAATTTTACTCAACAAGTTTTTTTATAGCCTTTTTAAAAGAAAATTGGTGGGTTTGTTGGGGGCCTAGGACCCCTACGACCATATAATGGATCGGTCATTGTCTTCGTTCTTACCGCGTAAGGTTATTGGTCCTTGTCATATACTTCCGACAAGGTAATGGGGTTTGATAAGAGCTTAAGCATTTGATAAACGGGTGATAAGTGATTCTTCATTAAGTGGCAACTACTTATCAAACGAGCATTATCCCAATTTTTATTACAATTATCTTCGACAATAACAAAAATAATATTTTGTTATTAGTTATATATCAGCTCGCTTTATTATCGAGAAACCAAGCATTCATGATATTTTTCTGAAAATCATATATTTTAGAGTAAATTACAAAAATCATATATGGTTTATCAAACTAATCCATGTAGTTTCTATTTCATTATGGGTTTTGTCTCTGACACTAATGACAGTTAAGAGTTGTTTGATTTTTAATTTATTAAGTTCTGAATCTATTAAGTTGTCTATAAACATTATCTGTCTGAAGAAATTAAAACAAATTGGTGTTTGATTTTTATCCTGGATAAGTAATATGAACAACAAAATTTACCATTTTAACCTTATGTCTATATAAGTGTTGAATGAAAATAAGTTAGTATGATAAATGCTTAAAATGACAAAAAATAATTGGATAATATAAATACTATGAATATGTTAATATAACTGAATCAGTTAAACTAACCACATATTAAGCTCAAAACAAACACCCATTAATATCACATCAGGGCATTTTGGTAATCTTCAAAGATATGCATATCATGATTCCGTTTGTAATAACGTATGTAATGTCCTCTAAATTCAAGAGATCTTGTTTTCATATGACGTCTACTGTGGTTTACACAAATTCAAGAAATCTTGACATCTTTCTCACATGAACCCAACGAATGATTCACTTGTTTTCTCACAATGATATGCTTTCAGGACCAGTTATTTCCCAACACACACACACACAACATGAATGATGAATATCCCACTCCAACTCGTAATGCAACAGATGCAAAAGATCTACAGATTTGCAATACACTTAAGTTGACAAAATGCAATGGAAAAACTATCAGCACCAGGGCCGAATTTGTACACAAGACTCCTTTAAAGACGCTATACAGGTTCCTACGTTTCACAGACCAAATCGACAACCACCGACTTCTATATAAATCAATACTATATTATGATCATATACCAACTCCAACTCACTTAACCATGTAATCAGCTCTTCGGTTTTATTCCGTTATTCCTTTTTCCATGTTCAAATCACCAAATATCTTATTTTTGCATACGTTTCTGGTATATTTGTCCAATGATTTATTCCGTTTGTAGTTTATTTCATCGGGTTTTTGTTCACTACTAAGATTGAGAGTGAATTTGGGCATACCTGCTCTTCTTCTCTTGAATGGCCTTCTGGAGGTCAGTAAACATTTCCACAGATAACCCTGAAAACTTGCTCAACTGTGCAAGAAAAGCCTCCAATCGCGACCTTAAACGATCAAAACTTACATTCCGGTCTTCTGAAACTTCCTCTCGTAACAAATTCACCCCTGCCGGATCATCTTTCTTGTTAACATGCTGCCATGGCATTGAACGATGATGAACTCCTTGGCCTTTTTCTTGTTGGGGTAAGAAATGATCGATTTCAGCAGCTAAATCCTTTATGGAATCCGAGACTTCTTTGGTTGGTAGGTTTTCGAGCTTATCAAGCCAGACACCACAGGTGACGTATATGGGAGGCCCGTAGTCTCTTAAAGACGGTTGGTTTCGTCTTTTTTTCCTGGTGGATTGCTGGAGAGGGACACACTTGTGAAGCCACCCATCTAGAGATTGAACGTAAGCTTTTTGTGCACCGATCCACTTTGTAAAACTTGAAGACAAAGTACTCAATTCGCTTTCAAGATAGACGGTAATCTGGTGACCGGAGTCCGATTGTAGCAAGACTTTGGTGTGTGCATTGTTTTGTACTGCTGCTATGATGAGGAACTGACTCTTATGACATTCATGCATTACTTCCCACATCCTCCTCAACCTGCCATTAAGACATTGAAAGATCGTTACCTGAATATGTTAAATATAGGATCAAATGGACCATTTTTCATATTCATACTCCTGCTGGCCCAAATTAAATGTCCACAACAGAAAATGCACTCTATTTTAGAAAATATGTAATTATAATAAATTTTTAGTTAACTAAATGTGAATTTTGTAATGAACTTATCGATCTCATAATTAATAGTAGAATTGGAAAGTAGACACTTACTTCTAAAAATGAACACTTCTTTTGGGACACTAAAATAAAATACACACTTATTTTGAGACGGAGGGAGTAATAATATAATTCACATAGAAACCTAACACCTGCATATAAATATGTAAGAACCTGCCCTCTTTATAAGAATTCAAAGGGGTTTCACAAATCCAAACATGGTATCAGAGGCAAAGTCTAGCATGTCCTAGGGACTCGACACAGTCTTTCGGCTCCGTTCTAGGGGGCACTATCCAGCTTCCATTTGAGGGGGGCATGTTGGAGTCCCATATTGACTACACAGAAACCATCAAACCTATATATGTATATATATACATAGAAAGTGAGAGAGAGAGAGTCGAGTTCATACGAGAACAGTAACTAAATTAGAGAATAAGAAAATGGTCCAATCAAATGTAATTTTACACTAAAATCACTTGTAAAATCACATGTGATTCATGCAACTTTAACCGCGACCTGAGGTCACGGGCCACGCGCCCGCACACCCTTTCATTGACCGTTAATGTAAAATCAATTTGACCGTTTTCGTGTTCTTTTATTCAGTTACTGTTCTCGTTTGAATTTCCCTCTATGTGTGTGTGTAGGAACCTCCCTTCTCTCGAACAAGCTCTTCCAAAGAAAGATTCAAAGGGGTTCCACATATTCTAACACTTATATCATTAGAGTTCAATGGTTAACATGAAGAGTCTTGGTTGGCTAAAGCACACAATGGAGAGGCATTTTCTGTAGTGTAATATGTTATCACTCATACAAGAAAGAAAGAGGTAGCTTTTTCGATAAAGTGACCACCACCCATTTTGAGTTAGACAGATGCTTACCCTTCAATCAACTCCTCAAGTTGGGGGTGAAGCTCTTTGTCTCTTAGATCCTCGATTCTTCTGGATATCGAATCGATCCTGTGGATGGCAACTCCAATTCTCCAGTGTAGATCCTTGACGATTGCACGAGTCTTATCGATCCTACTAGAACTTTCTCCATTGGATTCTAATTCCCTTAGAAGTTTGCGCTTCTGATCATACACCTTTTTGATCATCTGATTTGCCTGAAATTAGACAAAATAAATACATCTTTTACGTGATGCAGTTAAAAAGCTATTACCTGAAGACAAGTATACTCCAACAAAATGACATGAAATTACCACTGATATTTAGGTCTATCTTATATTTCTTTATGCTTGTATGTATGTTGGAACGTAACAGGGAATAAATGCAACATTCAACATTATTGCCTAGTGAACCTTTAAACTTCACATGGAAAAGCAGATTTCAGGCCAAAAGAAGAAAAGATAATGACATGCTTCGTTAATAAAACATCAAGCAAAATGCTTCATTTAGACTGAAAACTAATAATGAAGTGATTAACAGCAAAATGCTTCATTTAGACGGAAAACAAACAAACGTCAAGCAAATGCCTCTAATTTAATTGTTAATTACCTCTGTAACGTTCCACCACTTAATTTTAAGGTATATAACACCCTTGCTTCATCTAAGATCATGTCGATGTGATGTCTACAACCAAAAGAACCTATGCTGTGTTACTACACACTCCACCAGAAGGATTTCATAACTTATACACACGCTTCATCTCTTTTCCTAGTGAGAACAAAGTCCATCTAGTGAAAAATTATCAGGTGAAAGTCACATTTTCGAAACCAATGACGGATTGTTGGATATTTATACATCATCTGATTTGGAGTGATTGGGCCCACCTATAATTTATGCATATTTAGAGCATCTTTACCAAACCCCTAAAACTTTAACCTGGTATTAGAGCAAAGGTTTGTGAATAAGCCTAACAACTCATTCCATGAACACATTTTGTTGTCGCTAACAACTATTATCTTCGCGGCCTATGCTTGCTGCCCACTGCTTCTTTGTGACAGACTGGATCTCTATTCTTCCAGCAATCTTCTTTTCATGATAAAAGAGTCCTCCAACTTACAGCTTCTGCCTGAGGTTTCACCAGCACCATGCTAGTTTGCATCAATATATGGTCATTTCATACTTGTGTATAAACAAACGTAATTGCTGATTGTCATCCATTATCTAAAAGATCATAAACAAAGGGCATGCTTTCCATGCCCTTCTTCTAAATTAGTCCTTGGTGTGCTTTGCACCCAAGATTTAGATAGCAATTCTTACTATAAAGACATTTATTTATACAGTCTGATGTCTTTACCTTTTAGTACCACAAACACAATCTTGATGTTAAATTCTGTGATGATATACATGGAACAATGTGGTGAAGTAAAACAAATTTAAGACTACTGGAAAAAGGAAATCGGGGTGATTATAGTTGTTCTAGATGAGACCCTTGTACTTGCAATTAACTCCGTTGACCAATAAACTTCTTATTAGGGAAGAAGAGGATGCAAATGCTACAAAATTGATTGCAAATTGCGATTTCAATAAAATATTGGGCTGTTGGGATGCAAATGCTATAAAATCTAGACAGGGCCTCTAAATAATTTAAGTTATCATTAAGACATGTTGCTATAAAATTGTTCAGCATTTATCATAGTCTTGGTTGAAATAGCTTGAACTGCTAAAATGGTAAATTTGTTTTTCAAAGGCTTCTGTTGAATTCGATTAGGAAAGCATATGTAGAATAAAATAAAAGATTGTGTATCGATTCGTTTCGTTTTATTTCTTAAGTAACTTAGGAGTAGATGGTACAAGAAATTTAGGAATAGGATGCTATTGATATGTATAAACACCTCTGGTTTGTATCAAATAAATCACAAAAGAACTTTTAAATATTTACAGTATCAAAGCTTTGATCACTCCGGCCATCTGGTACTAGCTGGCCATCGGCGGGTAAACCCTAGCTGCCACCAAAAGTAGAAACACCGCCAAGTGCTGCCTTCATGCCAGTCTCTCAGTGCTGCAGATCTCGTCAGTCTTTGATCTATAATCATCACAGACCTCGTTTTCTAAATCACTCTATACCATCAGGCTTTCTCCAGCTATCACGTCACATCGATGCCGTCCTCCTCGGCAACCTCTCACTACAGTCATCTCGAAAGTCCAACGATCCTTCTACCTCTCGTCATCTTGTCCAAACCCTAATTCGCTGGATCTGTTGCTGCTACTCTCAACCCTCTGAATGGTGTTGTCAACTTGTCATTGTTCTGGAAGCCTAAAATTGGTATGTCTCTTTGTTCCAGATCCAAGTTAAATGGTTTCACTATGAATTGCCTAGCTGCTTCTACTTCTGCTGCCAACTACCATCTTCCTTCATTCTGTACACTGTCCAAGCTCTGATTAGCTACGTAACAGTTGGCTAGAATTGTGCACAAGTACACACTTCAAAAGTACCCTGCTGTTGGTGATTTTAGCGTCATCAAGCGTCTTGGTGTACTTGTGATTTACATGGGATCAACTAGGTGATAGGCAAACAAACGTGAGTTAGGAGGTGTCAAGTGTACACTCACCAATTTTTCCTCTATCACCTTAAATTACCATAAGGCCGGGGTCAAGGGGTTGTGCCCCCTTGCAGGGTCCTAGGTGCAGTGCCCCTGGCGATGGTCCCAAAACCTCTTAAGAATTTTATAAACAGAAGTGCTTGAAAAATTGAGTTTCTCAATATCCTAAGTGAAATTCAGAAGGCGAGAAAGCCTTCTTAACTTGGTGCAGGAAGTCTTTGGAGACTAACTCAGAAGCCTCTGAGTTCTCTTCAGAAGCTTCTCTGATTATGAAGTACCTTCTCAATTGCCTTCTGATCCATGTTCAATCTTATCCACAAGCAGTTATTTCGTAACTATTGTGCAGTTATCCATAAACCGCTTAATTAACCCGTAACTGTCGATTGCTCATATAAATACATGAAACGTTGAATCTGGGTGAGATGTAGTCATGTAGATCTAGATTGTACAGCCTTTAGATTTCGAGTTATCATTTGGATTATCCCAATATACTCAATTTGTGATACCCCAAGGCAATAAGGGTCGAATTGGTGTATTTGGAAAGCATGTACATATATATATATATATATATATATGCTATCCAAGTGATTTATCCAATTGAATAGATCAAGGAACCCTCAATGTCTAACACCCGTTTGGTTTGTGTTCAGGATGTCTGTTTATGCAAAATAGATTGTTGTTTGGCTACCAGGGTTGCTTGCAGAGATACTGTTTTCAGCTCTTGTTGGGGTAGTTCTTGGTTTAATGCTAGTTTCATTATCGCAACGAATTTAGTGGCTCAAAAGGAATCTCCCATAAGCCTTAACAACTAACAAGGGTAATATGAGAACATGGATCATGTGACAAGTGATACTTCACTCCTACAAAACTATATGCCCAACACTTATCATGCATTTGTTTGGAGCTGATGGTGATTACTGGGACAGGTTCTAGCCAACTCACTATGAATAGGAACTCCACTTTGTTCTTCATGTTTCAAATCTCGATCACAACTTGCCGTCTGTTACTAAATTCTTGTGATCTCCGTTGTATTACAAAGTTGTATCATAATTTATGCATTTTTCAGGACTTGAAATAGGGAAAGATAATTGGAGGTGCCAAACATGACTTTGGACTCTACATTCTTACATGTGATTCCTCCTCTAACAAAGTTCCTTATGAAGCAAATTTTGTTCTATCTTAACGTGTCAAGTCTAGCTTATCCATTTTCAGTTTCCATATTAACAAAGATATTGAGATCATGTCATTACACTATTGATTATGAGTTTAGGACATCCAAGTTTGTCTTTCTTTGTTATTTCCACGGCTATTCTTTAAGAAAAATACAGCCTCCTTTCATCATAGAAACTTCAAATGGCAAAACGCACCTGATCCATTTTTTCTTATATATCTTATAGACCTTCGACTCCACTCTCTTCAATTCACAATGATGTCTAGGGTTCCTCACAAAGTAAAAATATATTTGGCACCTGGTGGTTTGTAACATTCATGGATTATCATACTCAGAGTACTTGGGTATTCCTCATGAAAGAAAAAACAGAGATCAACTAAATTTTCTGAAATTCCATTTCACATCCAAACTCAATTCTACACCAAAGTAGAGTACTCAAATCCGACAATGGTAAGGAATACTTCATTAATAGTCTCAACAACTATCCATTTCATAGGATACTTCACCTTAGTTCTTGCGTTGACACTTGGCACTCAACAAAATGGAGTGGCTGAAAGCAGAAAATCACATATTCTTGAAGTATCCCCGATGTCTCATGTTCTCCTCTAATGTTCCTAAAAACTACTGCAGAGAAGCCCTTCTCACGGCTGTATATTTGATTAATCGTGTGTCATCTCACGTCCACAAATTCCAACCACCACATCAAATTATTCAACATTCTTTTTGTCACACCCGAGTCGTATCGAATGAGTTCCCCCTGAGTATTCGCTTGTACAACATTTATCCATATGTCACCGTCATAGCAAGCTTGATCCTTGTCTATGCTCAGAAAAGTCTATTCATAAGCTACTTTCCCATTCAAAAAGGGTATAAGTGTTATTCTCCATCCAACAGATCATATGCCACCTCAAACGTTACATTTTAGAGTATACCCTATTTCTCCAAGTCTTCTTATAAAGGGGAGAGTAAACATGAACCTCAGCTTTGAAACCTCTAAAAGACATTACTTGATTCATCGACTGAACCTATACTGGTTGAGTCTTCCTCTCAAACTACTGTTCCTCATCTAGAAATCCTCACATCCATCTACTCTCAAGCTAGAGTTCTATTGTACCCTGGCAATATAGTCAAATAAGTCAAAAAGGGTAGGCTTGGTTGCAAAGTCAAACAAGTCAAATAGGGGTGGGTTGTGGGAGATGTACTAGTGGTTACTGCAGTGGTACAAGTAGGTTAAGTATTTTAGTGAAGTAGGTTAATAGTTTTTACCTAGTATAAATAAGGAGAGATGAGGATAAGGAGGGTATCAATTATGGGTTCAAATCTCACCAAACGTGAGAAGTTTGTGTGAGTATTGCCGTGTATAAATATTATATACTTAAAAAAAGGTGACAAGTGAAGAGTGAAACTAGAATAGGGAAAGGTTCTTTCGTGCTCAATTTGAAGAGGGAAAGGTTCTTACAATGAACCAAATCCAAATCCAAAAGGCATTGCAGGGTGAAGAAGACACACTATTGCAGAAATTAAGCGATTTTGGGTATGTAATGACCAAGCTAATTGGGTTGATCTACCTTTTCGCCCACCAGGTGAACGATAAACTTTTCCTATTGTCAGAGTGTGTTTAAGTGGTTGCTACCCCAGAAAGACTTGCTTGTTGTGTTTATGTTACGAGTTTAGTTGGGCTGGATCATAATGTAAATAAACCAAGTGGAAGAAAAGGAAAGTGACTAGAAGTCGGTTAGAGGAGAGGGTTTTACCTTTAAATAGGAGGGAGGTAACACGTATTTTGGCAGAGACTGTTTTCCTAAGTTTCTATTGGCTCTTGCATTAGTGCGTTGAGAGAGGGAGGGAGGATTCCCTGGTTCATTTTTCTGTTATTGTAATTCCTTTAAATTCAATCACATATAGCCGATTTCTAGTTCCTTGTTCCTTTTTTTTAGTCAATCTTAATCTGTTGATTCCCATCATTGGTCCGACCTGCCTTGACCTGTTGTGTGAAATCCATGGAAACTCGATCTCAATTGAATCGATTGGAGCAACATGAAGACCAGATTCAGAGGTTGCAATCGGATATCCAGGAAATCAAAGTGGGGATTCAAGTGTGGGAATCTGAGCGAGTGAAGGAAGCTGAATTTCATAAGATGCTTCTGGCGTGGGTGAAACAACAGGGTATTCAACCCAACCATGAGTTCGGAGGACCATCCGGGGCCTCCATCGGATTCCCAATTACACAGACTCCTCAGGGGGCTCCGTCTCCACAGCAAGGTGATAACTCACACTTCTGCTCCACGATTGAGTTCTTCCGATTTGTTACCATGGGCGGCGAAGAAAGTCAAATTGCATGAATTCTATGGGTTCGATCCTCAGGGATGGATTCAGATAGCATAATTATACTTTTGACATTCATGGTACACTATCTCACCTTCGCATTCGTCTTGCTCAATTAAGTATGGTGGGTGTAGCCCAACAATGGTTCACGATTGTGAAGCAGATTTACGATCCTCTTAAGTGGGAACAATTGTCCGTCAAACTACTCCAACGATTTTCGGGCTTGAAGATTCATAATCCGTTCGAACAATTGGCTACGATGAAACAAGTATCTTCTATTCACGATGATATAGACGATTTTGAATATTTGCTATCCTTGGTACCTCGATTACCTGAGACACAAACTCTAGGTTACTTTATTGCGGGTTTACGTGATGAAATGAAACGATGGGTACGTCTCCATTGACCTCAGTCTCGTTTTGACGCCATGTATCTCGCTAAGGATACCGAAGAGATGCTTCGCCCTTCTGCCAAGAATATTTCCCAATCCCGATTTCGGTACCAGACGGAAGGTGGGTTGGGCTCCTCTTTCCAATCAGATCTCAAATTTAACCCTCTAGACTGTTAAAAGAGCAAGGGGCCCAATAGTTCTCATTCCAGTGAGAAGAGCCCACTTACACGCACGGATGTAGGTCGTATGCCCACGAATCCCCGTACTGCCAGGGCTCCTTCATCGGACTATGGCCAATTGTTCAATCGCAATCGGGGTATTCGGTCCCCTACTCGTACAGAATGGGAGGAGCAACGTAAGAAAGGGTTGTGTTTCCGTTGTGGGCAGCAATTCGGTCTTGCTCACAATTCCCCAAAGGGAAATTGCAGATTCTTCTCTTGGGCGACGATAAATCGGTAGATGGGAACGGTGAGCTTCAGACCGTAGAGGCAATAGAGGAACCAGTCACTAAAGAGGAGGAAATTCCTCCAAATGGATTATGTATAGCCTCGGAATTCTTGGCCCGTACACTATTATTCATCGAGTGGGACCAATTGCATATGAACTAATCTTACCAAAAGACTCCAAAGTACACCCTGTTTTTCATGTTTCCTTGCTACAAGCGACTCATTGCAGAGCCCCATTTAAGCCCCCTCTGACACTACCTATCTCAGTTGATTGGGAACATGTTTTGGTTCCAGAACAAGTTTTAGCTCACCGTTGGGTCTCTCAGTCTAGTACTCCTGTGTTGGAATTATTGGTGAAATGGCGACAACATCCAACGGAAGAGGCAACGTGGGAAATCTACGACCTGCTACATGGACAATTTCCAGCATTTCGCCTCGAGGACAAGTCGAGTTTTCAAGGAGGGAGTAATGATAGCAGCAAGACTTTTCAGAAAGATTATAGGAGAAAAAAACAAGAAGGAAGAGAAGATATATTAGAATAAAAGAGATATGGTGGAAGCTTTTACTCACCATCATCACTTACTCATTAGTTTTAATTACCCTTATCTCTTAGCTTCCTTATCCTACCCAGCTTCCTCATCCTACCCCAACTAAGTTTTCTTTTGCAGTTTCCTTTTTACTTTCCCTAGGTATTTAGTATAAATCATAGGTTATGAAGTTTGTTTTAGACATCTTGAATATTATGCAATTAACTTTGAGTTTAGTCCTCTCTACGGACCTTTATTTTATTGAAGATCCTCTGTTCGGATTCTACAAGTATCTTCAGTAAAATTAATTATTTTTTTAAATCCTGGTGGGCCTTTATCAGATCCTTCAGTATGGAAAGGACCATCTATAATTCATTTGATGGAATTAAGTCAATGCTTAATCAATCGCTACCACAACCACCACCAACAGTAGTTGATGGATTGCTTTTGAATCGGCAGTTTCATTTGTTTCCACCTTGAGAATGAGGTGAAAGTTCGGGGGCAGGTATTGTTATACCCCAAGTAAAATAGTCAATGTCAATAGTAGTACTTTGTGTCAAAGCATCAAGATTGCTAGGTTGTGGTAGGAAGGTACAAGTAATTAGTGCTATAGTACAAATGGGCAATGCATGGGCAGTAAGTCGGTGGTGGTATGAAGTATAAATAAGGGGTGTGAAAGTGAGGGGGATTCATTTTGATTTGTCTGTTCAATGTAGGCGAGAGCCTTGGGAGAGTACTGACCTCTCGAAAGCCAGCAATTCTCCGATATCTTCTATTAAACCATTCAATTTTTATAACCCTAATTTTCCTAGTGTGTGTATAAACAACATGAGCATTAACGATTGTAATTGATTATTATGCCTAATTGCAATTGAGATGATCTTTTACATCATAACTACAGCCATTGTTAAGTTTTGATGTAGAATTATCTGCTATTGCCTCTCACATCCTTCCCTTGCATAAAAGTGTCGTTCTTTCATGTCCTCACTTAATATATAACATACAAAAATTGGAACCAAATCAAATATATATTCTTGATATAAGGATGTTTAAAGGAGATGACCACATAACTATGAATTTAAAAGGTATTAAAGGTGGGCTTACAAAAATAAAGATAGGAAGAAAGCTTTACAATACCTAGATATATGTGCCTAAATGAAAACAAAGAAAGCAATGAAGGAGACTACAGTGGAAGTGTTGGATGGCTTTTACTAAGGAGACATACAAAAGATTGTCAAAATCTATATATACCAATTGTAGAAAAACTGATATCCAGTATCCTATCCTGAGTAATAAAGAGGACAAAAGAAAAAAAATACTCTAGTACTTGCTAAATGGTCACAAGTTTAACATACAATGTGTTATGAGATACCTACACTAATTGTATCAAAATTTAATTATAAGTTCAAGGATTAAGGACAAAGGAGTTAACCTCCGGAATGCATATTCACCAAGCAAAAAGTACAACTAATATTAAAATATAATGCTCTTTGTGGTACACCTCTGATTATATCAATCACTCTTTAAGTATATGCACTTGTCATAATAAGGAACTTTTTCAAAAAACAAAAATTAATGATATCATCACCATGCAATACCTTAACTTCATCATAAAGCTTCTTCTCCCATGCATACAGCCTATCCAAAGTTGAAGCATGGCTTCCTGCATTCATGCAGAAGTTATCAAAAAGGCTATTGGCAAGATCCTCTTGGTTTTCTCTATTGTTGGCACTGGGATCATGCCTGAAGGATGAAGCACGAGATGATGTTGCCCGATGCCATGTTAAGTACTTCGTGTCATTTTGAGCAGGTTCTAAGTGGACATAGAACAACGAATCAGTAACTTAATGAAACTGAAAAACATAACAACAGTTTTAGCAGCTAATCAAATGATATTATGCACACAAGGGTAGGCTCAGGATATGCATCTCTATGTATTTGAGCATGTCATCCAGAGCATATACGTTTGTGCTTTAAAAGATAGAAGCATATAAGATAGTTCAGACGTTCTATACACTACCTAACCAAATAGAGAAACTAGATAAAAGATCAAAATCTTACTTTATCAAGAATAATATTGTTTAGCACAAAAACACGTGTCAATCATTTGTTTCCTAGAAGCAACAATAAGAGTATCTCAAGTGAAAATCTAAATAAATGGCTTTTGAACTTCTTCCTCTATGGTGGTAGTATTATGGCCTATGTACATGCCAACATATATGTGTGGTATGTTTATTTCCATTTCCTGTGATCCGTAGTTATTAAGATTGCATTAGAGCAAATGCTTTGATAACCAAACCCAATCCCCCACTACAGAATTGCCAATAAAAGCAGACTTGCACCACACACCATCACTTCCAGCCACCACATACAGGTTTTCACTGTCTCCACCATAAACAAAGATGATTATGAAACCTAATGGACTGAACCTAAGTCGACCAGCAATATGCTTCAGTGCAACTAATGTTGTCCCTTGTGCATCCAGCTTGTGTGATGCTGTCACATGTTTCATGTTCAGTAATTTATTCCCTGTCTCCAATTAATCAAGCATACATACTTCTTGTCAATATGTAAGATGGTATCAATCTCAATATCAATCTGTATCCATACTATATGGCGCCAATCTTTACATTTGGTCTTATGGAGGATATTGATCTTGTCATGAGATTTCAATGCCATCATGAGAAGCTAATCTACCCACCAGAGGTCATCTCATCGATATTTTTATCTGAATTGCAGGATTTTGACCTGTTATATGAGCGATATGACCCAAGTTTGAACCAACAGGTCGTCACTAGGCTTTCTTCACTTGGTTGTTTTTATTTCGGATTTGCTCCTATTCTGCACTTACTGTGGAACCATGAACAATAAATTAGAAGACATTTGTCTCTAGATTTGCTTTATCAGTTGTTCTTGTTTGGGATCGGTACAGTCCAACATTTTCTCAAATATTTATAATTAACCATGCAAAATAAACAAGATGAGGAAAGAATCTTCCTATTGTCCATCTCTAGACTGTTCACGCTGATTGTTGTTTCAAATCTGCTCTGGCTCTGCATTTTTTCCAAATGTTTACCATGACAAATAAACGACAATACATGAAAGTAGCCATCAGTTTGTTATCAATTAATTTTCTGCTTTGCTCAAGATTCTAGTTGAACCTAATAACAGTTGAGTTCAGAATCTAAATTTATGGGTACCAGCCCTGAAAGTGTAAAGGAACACCATTATCTAACTAGTAATCCGTTGAAGGCCGTAAGCAATGGTGTGGATGATTATAAAAAAGATATTTGTATAGCGTTTAGAATCCTATGGAGCTTGACATCCTATCCGCCTCCATGAAAATTATTAATCTCAGGGAGAACATACGCTTATCATATTCCAAGAGTTACACATGTAACATTCGCACGATTATCCACAGTATCACAGCTCTAAGAGTGTGGTTCACACTTCAAAAAGGAAACCGATGAGCTAGAGAAGTTTCCGCACAGTCATGACAAGCTGCAGTCCTCTTCTATCATTGCAGGTCTTTCATTCATGTATGTTGGTTATCGTTTAGTACTACTCAATCCTTCCACCCTATCATCTATGATATCACCTCATTCATGAGAAGTTTCCACCTAAACTGAAGCCATCCAACTTGAAAAAAAGGGCAGTTTAGCCTCTGTTGCCGATAGTCGGAAAGATTCTGGTTCTAGGAGAGTAGCAATGTAGGTTTTACATTCTTCATAGATTTCAGGTATGAAGAATGTGTACAAATACTTGAAGAAGTGGAACACTGAAAGATATCTAAATCAACCTAGTGAAAACCTAATCATTAGCTTCAGGTCTAACCTCCCTTACTCAAGTTATTTCATATGACCAATTTAAGGTTTCCTCCAAATGGCATTCCAACAAGAAGGAGCTTTCCTTTCTCTAACATCATCTTTCTACTTGGATCAATCCATTGCTGTTTCCTCACAGTGGCATTTCAGTGTCCTACCTTACTGCATGTACATTTACCACCACTCGCCTACCAATTATGTGTTAGTATCATTAATGGTTTACCCTATCCTCGTGGTGTAATTAACTCATATAACTCCCATTTTTCCTTCCCTAATAAAAATCCTCCAAACAGTATCCCAAAAATCTCACATATGCTAGCCAAATAAATAAGAACAAAATATGTTTTATAAATTTCTTTCTAGATCATTCTGTTTTTCAAGATTTGTCGAGAACAGACTGACCGGAACTTGATATGAGCCTGAGGACTACATTGGTTGACAACTAAGAAAAACATACCTCAATCATGTTACTATATGTGATGACCATTGCTAATCAAGAAATCTTTCTTCACCAAATCAGAACAAGTCCGAACCAGAATTCATTTGTTTCAAAAGTTTGCTTGTGACTTGAGAGTCATGTCAATTGGGAAAGCATACCATGGTCCTATCAACTTAGAAGCAAGTTGAATTGAAGCACTGTCATAAAAAATTTCCCATGTAAGATGTAAAACAGAAGGTACCAGATGCCTCCTAATGGAGTTCTCCCACTGTGACACCAGATCAACTACTCACAGCAAAGAACAAGGTATCCTACAAAAGCGAAAACACGCATCTTGATTGTCATTTGGTACTGTAACCATGGTATGGGAACTACTACAGACCGCACATCCATCTATCATATGCATATCTAGATCAAGGATTGTCATGTTGACGTCTTCATAAAGGCTTTACAGATTGATTTTACTTTTAGCAAGTTGGCATGACGAACGTCCATACAACTTGACTAGGGGTATCAGTAGTATTGCAGTTCCAATAAATTCATTTGGTCACGCCTACCTTATCTGCTAAATATATTCAAGGGATTTTCTCTTAACGATAACATCTTTCTTGAACCCTAATTATATATACCCACTAAACTGAAGCAACCTAGTAAAATGCTAGTAACTTCTCATATATCTTTTTCTATATTTTTCAATGTCATATCTCCAAGTTACACTCTCCTGTATCATTTTCAGGGAGGAAAGAAACATGATTGGACTCTAACCCACGATTGTGTAATGCAGAAATAATATGATTGGTTAGTCATAAATGTCATATAGCCATGGTCGTAGGTGTACCACGACGGACCTAAACTCTGGCTTTGAATGTTTATAAGAAAATCCAACAACATACATAAAGAAAGCTAATATACACTTAAAAATTAGCAATTATATATAAGAGGTCATCTCCATATTCATGACAATGAAAACTACTGAACTCAGTATTCTACGACTTAAAAAGGAAAAAAAATATGAACTCTTCACATTCATCAGACACACGACAAAAGGAAGGATCCTACAAGTCCTTTCACTCTCAGCTCAAAGATACACATCACCAAGTACTTAAACATTACTAGTTATAACTTACAGGTGCATTACTCAACCCATTTTCCATATTCTAAAATAGGCATTGTTGTCAAATCTATTTTCTCACCTACTTTGCAGGCTTCCTCCATGCCAAATCACAAAATTTCTATGTAGCATAGTCCTTTGAACTCTTTTAAATCTAAAGTTCCCGGCTTTCTGCCACCTTTTATTAGACATATGTCAAGACTGAAAAGAGGTTTATTATTATTTTAATCTGCATGTCGTTTCAATGGGGATAACTGATAGTTGAGAAAAAGCATCTCTTTCATTGTTGTAGATAACATTTAACAACATGTCAATACGTACCCTCTTTCTTTCTAGAGTTGATTAGCTTATTAACCTTACATGAGGTTTTAATTAGCTCCATAACCTTTTAAAATCTAAATTAACTCAATAAACTCATAAATATGTTATTCTTATAATACCCTTAATGAGTTTATTTAAAAAAACTAAAATAAAATTTGAAATTATAGAAACCAGGCCCTAGGCCCGCCAATCTGCTCCTTCTCTAGATCCTCCTCCCTGTTTAACCTGTTCTATATCCTCCTCCCTGTTTAACCTGTTCTATATCCTCCTTCTGTCATTATTCAACCTGTTCTTCCCAGTGTGACAGACCAAACAGCCTCCTCCCTTGGCCGCCTACTTTCGCCTGCAATTGATTCGGACGGTGGTGGTGGTCAGACCACCGAGCAAGGACGATGGTCGGGACGGTGGTGTTGGTCGGACTACCGGCAGAGACGATGGTTAGGACGGTGGTGGTGGTGGTCAGACCACCGAGCAAGGACGATGGTCGGGACGGTGGTGTTGGTCGGACTACCGGCAGAGACGATGGTTAGGACGGTGGTGGTGGTGGTCAGACCACGGAGCAGAGATGATGGTCGGGACGGTGGTGGTCGGACCACAGAGCAGAGACGATGGTCGGCCTCTAACTGCTAGGGTTCCGTCATTAAAGCTAGGGTTCCGCCACCCTTTTCTTCCTCCAAATCTGATTCACTTCTGCAAGTGTTAGTGTTAGGGTACCATGGTCATTTGCACCTTAGAAACTAACTTAAAGAAATATAAAATAAGAATAAGAATAAGAGAAGGTCATTTTGCAAAATGATGGTCTTTAGAAGGTCATTTATCCAACGGACCCTTCTTTCTACGATAAGAGGAGGGGAGGATGAGACTCAACTCATGACCTTTGACAGGAAAGAGAGATTCCTTAATTACTAGGCATGTCTCTCTCTCTCTCTCTCTCTACGTTTTTTGTCTTCTTACAGTAACTCCAACTGTAACTAACAACTATTATTTTGCTCTCTTTCAACAACGCCTAACTGAAAATAAACTGAACTTAGTTTATATAACAAACAAGTACTTGGACAAACTTGTCAGCATTTGCAGATAGTTATGCTTGGTACAATTACGAAAATGCACATCTAGAGCACTAGAAAATAGTTGGCAAGAGGCATTGAACTTTCATCCTTTACAATATTCAGAAAATCCCCTACAGATATGGAGTATTTGATCAATTATTAGACACATGAACAGAAGTATGTAAATGCATCTTCAAACCGCAGCACCATAAACCAAACCAAACCAGACAGTATATCCCACTCAAAAGTAGGGTCTAGGAGAAGTAGATTGTATGCAGCATCACATTTAGTGCAAAATTAATTATCAATATGACTCATCAAGCATGCTGATTTACACTTTTTACAATAGGGAGACCTACCTTCCTGTACTTGGCTTGGATCATCCCCACAAGCAAGACATGCTTTTAAAATTTTTGAAGTGAATGACCCACCTGCCACAAAAAAAATCTCTGGCTGAATATTTTTTTCAAATCCTGTAGAATATTAACTCAAACTGCTCCATTTCTAAATTAAAATTTGATATTAATAATACTGGTATAAGAGTACAAAGAACCATTTTGAGAGAGCTTTTAATATCTAATATATTTATTTATGAGAGAGAGAGAGAGAGTACGTTCTTTCTCCGGGAAAATTGGTCGAAAGTGGAGTTTGTTGGCTTCAAGCATTCTTGGAACTTCTCTTCCACACTCGGAAGCTCTAATAAAGAGGTGTTCAATATCTCTCATGCTTGAAATAAGATCTTTAGGTACAGCCTTATTTTCGGGACCTTCTTTTACCGTTTGGATCTTTTCATCTTGAGGAGTTGCAACATTGCTGACACCAGAACTTTTTCTCTTTAGTGGTGACAGTTGAGGAGAATTGCACTTATCCCCATTCAAAATTTCAGTTTGTGATGTCATGCTTTCTGCAGAGGACATGGAAGGTAAAGCAGTCCCACTAACATTATCTGCTATCCTATTAACATTTGCAAAACTTCGAATCAACCCATCCGTAGATGGCTCATCGAACTCGTCTTCTGATTCTTGAGCCTCTCCACTCCCTTGGGATGGACTTTTTTCTTCTTTGTCTTCCATTTCAGGAACCCCTTCATCTTCCCTTGGCCTTTGCATGTCAGTGTAATTTTCCAACCCTTGATTCAATTCCCTCGCTTCTTGTGAAGAAAAATCATTGTCGATCGGATGGGGCAGACCAAAATAGTCCCAAGGTTGAGTTTCAGGAAGCACGGGAGTTGCGTCAGATGGGATTTCAGGTTCATCTATAGGATGAGTGTTGTTCATTGGGGTACTTGAAGAAGTTATAGAACCCATGACTGGCACAGATGGCCTCTCTTCAACTTTTCTTGAAAATGAACCTCTTATCTTCATATGATTTGCATGGTACCGGTTGGAGGTTGGCGGTGAAGGAGATGGAGATCTGTTTCCAGCTGCACCTACATGTTGCGACATGCTTGAGGAGAAAGAGAGCTGTGAAAGCGATTTCTCGATGAATGTGAGTGGCTCTGGTGTTGCACTATTGGAAGTGTACAAGGAGGATTCCATTGGAGCTTCAGGTTCAATAAATCTCTTTAACGCATTTCCGATAATTGTTAGAGACTCTATATAAGTAAAATGGGTGGCTGCAAGTGAACATCTACCATCAAGCGCTCGCCCAACAAACTTTTTCCGTTCACGGCATAGCTGAAGAGCCTTATCTTCTTCCACTTTTGAGCTTGTAGCACCCATCCGTCCAGACCTATCTTTGCTCTTGGGCAGCTTCCTGGATTTCTATCCGCACATGGACTTCTTCCTGTAAGTTAAAACACTGGTATTTTAAGAACACAGCCTGGCATGCAATAGATTGTTTAAATTCCAGCTCTTATAAGGTCCGCGAATGAAGGAAAAAGATAGTGTGACTTGTTTAATTGTAACTTTCTCACGTCATAGTTAAAATGCAAACCAACCATATCAATCAAAAACTGTCAGTGAACCAAAAGTTAAGAGGGGTCATTGACCTTTGTACTAATAGATATGAGTTAAAGAATACAGGGAAAACATAATTATCAGAAGCTCTAAATTTACAGTATGATGAAAAAGAACAATTTGGGACAAGAAGATATGAAACGCCCCTACATGTTAAGATACCACCACTTAACTAAATATCTTTATGTTTACTATCAGAGCAGCCTTGTAACATCAAATAATTTGCTTACTCCATTGCAATACCTTTCCGTTCCCTGATAAACCTGTACCTCTTACTCTACCTACTCAAACAAAAAAAATTAGAAAAGAGACTACAAGTTTCACTTATAAATCCCTCTCTTTCTATCTTGCTATTATTTAAGTTATAACACCTTCAGAGGGACTGAAAAGGTCAACTTTGTCCTCCATTGTAAGATGAGGCCTAATTATCATTGAACCATTAACAACAAGATCCTCCCTCTACCCATGCAAAAAGGAACACAAGTCATTTTCCCACCATCTCACAACCATACTCTTATCTCTAGACTGTCACAGCGACCTCCTTCAACATTATCCTCAACCACACAAGAATTATTTTCAATATCTAAATGGATCTTCTCAAAACTGATAGCAAGCTCACTTCCCCATGCTGTTACCCTGCCTCTATCACTTTTGTGTATTCACTGTTCAAATTGATATTTCCTAGAAAAAGGAATTAGGAGGGTTGATACAGATGCCACTAGACTGAAGAAAACAGTGCAGGATGAACTGATAGCTGCTACAGGTCCTGTATTCAGATACAAAGTTCTGGACAGTGGTTCTCACAACTAAAAGGATAGCTTGAATAATCATGACAAGGGTCACAAGAGGTTGGAGAAAGAACCAAGGCTTCAATAAGCCAAAAGATCAAGAGCCAGCGGTGTAGAACTGAAAATTAAGGGAGAAGGGGATTTGAATTGTAGACCTGAAAAGTATTATTACCACCTAGGGGCTGAGCCAAATATCAACACCCTAAATGCTCGATGGGACCCCTGAAATATTCTTAAACAATCTGAATCAAGAACAAAGTCGAAACTTGCGGGACGTCAAACGAAAAGAAAGAGAGGGAATAAATCTGTATGAACTCTCACAAGCTGTAATACAAGAAGTAAAGAATTTACCGTGAGAAAGTTCCAAATCCAACTGATTCTTCTACATTCGATTAAAAGAACACCTTATACAGAACAAAATCGGGATTGCGAAAAATCAGTATCAGCAACTCCAATCCAACTGATAGATCAATCGTGCTTGACGTCAAATTCAGGCTGAAGAGCTAAGAATTTCATTAGGAAAAAAACACCCAAAACGAATAAAGTAAAAAATACCCAAAATCTATTGATTTAAAAACAATGAAAGAAGCAAGAACATGATACTCTGTACAGCACAATTAAGATATGATGAATTCAAGTGCAAAGCTTATTAATTTGCTCGAATTGAAAAGGGTTAAAAAGAAGAAATGAAGTTTACCTGGAATAAGTTACGATTATGGAAGAGGGATAGAGCAAATTTGAGCGGCCGGAAGAATCGATTGGAGAAAGCGTGGTTCGTTCATGCAAAAGCAAAGAAGGAAGTCGACGAAAGTGTGTGTTAGAAGGGTGGGGTCCGCCATATGCAAAGTTCCAAATCGGTAACCGTAAAAAAGGGTATGGATGGGATCAGGTGAAAGGGTGCTTTGATGGGTTCGTTGTGGAACTAGACCCTTTTTTTTTAATCGGGAAAGGATAATTACACCTTTCTCCTTCTCCTTCTTCTTCTTTATTTTCTTTTTATATTTTTATCTTTTCATCGTCTTTTTTCTTTATATTAATTTTTTTAATTATTTATTTAATTATAAATATATTATTATTATAAATATTATTTTTTATTTTATAAAAAAAATATAGTCCCTTTTAATTACACCGTTAATTAAAACGTGTTAGTTTTAAGGACTTTAATCAATAATTTATATAAACCA